TATTTTATAAGCTCAAGGATTTTACGAGTATCAAGAGATAACATACAAACATGCATCAAACAGTTGCATGTGGAAATATATGTGTTCGTCACTTTCCTTACACTAAATTACATTCCTGAGAATGGTTTTCCATTTTGGAAGCCTTATTAGCTTCCAGCGTTCATTAGCTACGATGCAGATGTTAAGAACAGATAAAAACAACATAAGAATATATTAATGGGCACAAAAGCACACAGGCGGATTGATAACCTGATTACCTGCCTAGCTACGCTATATATATATATATATATATATATATATATATATATATATATATATATATATATATATATATATATATATATAGTTTAATACAAACAATACTATCATACAGGTTAGAGAAATTAAATTCGTACTCTACCGAGTTTCGAACCTAGATCCGCGAGTAAATGGCACCCATCGCCTTGCCTGCACGCACCAACCCATATACCGTCACGACTAAGCACGCATCACCAAAAAATGATGGCACTGAATCGGTGTTACATAAACTTGTGCGTAGCAGACACACTCGCATGACGACCTAGTAATTAATTCTCATAAATATACACAGTCGTTCCAGATTCCTATGAAAGAAATCAAGGTATATAGGAATTATATATATATATATATATATATATATATATATATATATATATATATATATATATATATATATATCTATATATACAGATATATATATAGATATATATATATAAATAAATATATATATATATATATATATATATATATATATATATATATATATACCTGTCGTGTCTGACTGTCTGTCTGTCTGCACGCATGCATGGATGGACGGACGGACGGACGGACGCACGCACGAACGCACGCACGCTTGAACGCACTCACGCACGTACGTACATACGTACATATGTATGTATGTATGTATGTATGTATGTATGTATGTATGTATGTATGTATGTATGTATGTATGTATGTATGTATGTATGTATGTATGTATGTATGTATGTATGTATGTATGTATGTATGTATGTATGTATGTATGTATGTATGTATGTATGTATGTATGTATGTATGTATGTATGTAATTAAGAATATCATAAATACTAAAATAAAATCATGTTTTAGGTGACATTTCTATGAACAGTATGGCTTGCCTAAAGTTCAGATAGAAAATGCATTTTACTCTTTGCAATTCCAGAGAACCAATAGAACCAATGGCCTTTGTTTGAATATTTCTTGAACCATATTTCAGTAAAAAGTTCTGGTGTCTTCACTAATAACCACGTGCTTTCATAGCAAAATGTAAAGTTGTTTTTGTGGTGTCTTTTCAAAAACCACTGTCCCACTTTTGACCAAAATATGTTTTTAATAATTCTTCTTAGAACACAATTACCACAATTACTTCTATTTCAGACTATTGGAAAGTTTTATTTTTGTTATCTTCTTAGGCATTTCATGGAACGATTTAAGTAAACGATGAAGGTGCATTTCATATTTTACTAATGTTTTATCACATATTAGTTTACAAAGTAATCTCTAATGGGCCTCTTTGGCAACCAGGTGATGATTTTTTTCTTCAGCCAAATGACTTATATCATTGAATTTGCACTGACCTATACACTATTGAGAATTAGAGGAACAATCTAATTTGCACTTGTACCTCTTGTCGTTCATTATTTCTATTTAAAGGGAAGAAAAAAAAGAACTTTGAAATCTCAGCTCATTAACATGTGCGTTCATCAATGGAAATGGTGGGAAATATCAGTGCTTGACAGAAACAAAGTATTAAGGCACAGGCAAGAAACTACCTTCCATTTGCCATGCCTTGCATTCGTTAAGTCCAAAATAAATTGTATTCATTGTTTTATTTTCATAATTCTCATTATTCGGAATGATAGAAACCGTTGTTGCTACTTCTCTTGCTACATTCGACCAAATTCTCTGTTCTACTTAATCTTCAAGCAGAAATTTCTCCAATTTTAATCATGTTCTAATAATGATATTTGCAATCCTGTGTGACTACTAAAAAGTAAAGTAATTTTGAACACATGCGATGATTAGCAAGTTGTTCGGTAAGTTTAATAGTTATTGTTGTCTGATAATACTTCTATGATCTTTTTAGGAGAGCATAGTCAATTTTTGTTTGAATAAAAAAAATGTTGAAACTGATTCGCATTAAAATATTGTCTCCTGACATAAGTTGTTAAGTCATTTAATTTGAAGTTCAAATCAGTTCTTGTAAAAACATTCATTATCAGACTTTATTATTGTAATTTAGCTCTATGGGAAAATCTTTAAAATGTGTAGGTGTGTAAAATGAAAATTTGCTTTTAAAACTGATTTTGTTCATTAATAAATATCTCAGAAGGGCGAATTAGTAGAGAATGTTACATACAGTCAATACAACAGGTAAAGTTATGACCTTGTACCAGAAAATAATTTCTAAATTCTCGTTCTTTCGTCACCTCTTTATTTACTCTACTAAATCCCGGTAATACATTTTGTTGTCAATTTACTTATTGTTGTTGTTGTTTTTGTTATTATTATTATTATTATTATTATTATTATTATTATTATTATTATTATTATTATTATTATTATTATTATTATTATTATTATTATTTGTTGTTGTTATTGTTATTATTATTGGTGTTAGGGATTGCCTGCTATTGCAGAACAGATATATGAAATTATTCTTTTGGATAGAGTAATAAACATAGATATTTTGATTCGTTTGAAAGTTGATTTGTTAGTGGCACTTATATTCATGGCATTTGATTTGCTTTCTTGTACATGTTAAGTCAGAGATTACTCTTCTTTAGACAAGTCACCCACGGGTACATTTATTTTCAAACGATCATTTTGTTAGACAAGTCACAGCAGGGACATTTAAGATCAAACATTCATTTTGTTAGACAAGTCAAAACGGGGACATTTACAATCATTGTTAAAATCGCAATACTTACCAAACACAACTAAAAGTTGTCTTCCTACTTCCTCGTACTTCATTTCAATGACAGATCTATAGATTCCAGTCTTCCTCGGTAGCGTTTAAAACAGAAAAAGATATAGTTCCAATCTCATAGTCGCCAGATAATTAAATCTTTGTTTTCAATGCCTCAGATACATTTTCCGGATTTGATCCTAGGCACTGAAATATCTTTTTCTCCTTAGGGTTGAAACCATCGACATAATAGCCGTCTACTGCTTTTTTGTCAATCTCGAAACTAATATTAGCTACTCCATTTCTCAAAACGTATATGTTTGGCGCTGAAACAAAGCATAAACTAAGATTAATACAGTCTTTCTAGAGCATCTGATAGATAGATAGATAGATAGATAGATAGATAGATAGATAGATAGATAGATAGATAGATAGATAGATAGATAGATAGAGAGATAGAGAGATAGATAGATAGATAGATAGATAGATAGATAGATAGATAGATAGATAGATAGATAGATCTGGTTTTACCTGTTACATAATTATCATTATCATAGAAAATGGGCCAATCCTAACGTTACCTTTTTATTTTAGATCTTGAATCTAATCATTATTACTATATATTTTTATACGTATTTTCTTAAACACCATTATGTAGTTCAACGTACACTATTTTATTTCTACTCATATTTGCAACTCTTACCTTCTTTTGGATTTGCCAGTCGAATGAAGATGACTTCAAACATACAGAAAAAGAACGACAAAAATCCGTTTGCAATCATTATCATTAATCCCGAGTCTCACGCTATGTTGAACAAGAATACCGACGCGGCGATCTAAGCATCCTCATATTGTTCCATATTGTTCACATTTACTTTGTATTTGTATTGTCCGTTGACGAACCGGAAATGTCTGAGTCAGCTATCGTATATCCCAGCATCCCAGCTGAATCCACCACATGTGTAATACGAATTTGACCAAGTAAACCACAAGTTCCTAATTTTATACAAAAAGGTTAAATATTAATATCACGTATCATTATTGTAATTTTAAAATTTTGTTTTTGGATTTTCAACGTAACTTTAATAACAATTTTAGTCATATCGCCACGAATTCTTCAGTGTGACAGTTTATAGTAATGTCTAGCACAGGGGCATCATGCCGTAGACATGTAGCATGATGTCCCACCCAGTCACATTATCCTGACACAAGTCTGACCAATCCTAACACTAACTTCTTAATAATGAGAGCCAAGCGAAGCAGATGCTAGTGACCGTGTTTCAAGCCATTTATGAAACAAGAAAAAACACTAACTGATTTCTTGTTTTTCTCTCCAGTTTGTTACTTTTTTCGCTGTTTTATGAATTCTACAATACACCTGTCGATATATTGTGAATAGTAGAGTGAAAAAAAATGTTAAAATGATTGACATTAGCTGCAGAAGTTGAAAAGTTGTTACTTTCTTTTTCAAATATGGGACTTTTCTGGAGCAAACATGAATTACCCGTAGTTTTGTTTTACGTTCTCTTTCTTTAACACGACTCTATAAAATGAAAGGATATAGTTATTGACGCATTTAAGCTTGTAAATAGTGTTTGGATTTAGTGAGATATTTCGCTTTTATGTAAAACGAAGTACAGAAATCACACAAAATAAATGTGTCGGGATATAATATTTATTTATAAATTTTCGTGACTTGCAGATAAGCCGATATCAAAATTTATTGAAAATATTCAAATTAAGAGATGAAAATCGAAATGCATGATATCAATGCATAAGAATTCAACAATATGAGTATAGATTATCGAATATTAGGTATTGGTGTTTATGATTTTTAACGTAGCTTTAACAACTTTTCAGTCATATAGCTACGATGTCTGCAGTGTGGCAGTTTATAGTGATGTCTAGCACTGGGGCATCATGCCGCAGACATGTAGCATGATGTCCCACCCAGTTACATTATCCTGACACCAGGCCAACCAGTCCTAACACTAGCCTCTTAATGTTGAGCGTCAAGCGAGGCAGCTGTTAGTACCATTTTTGTAAGTCTTTGGTATGACTCGACCGGGTATCGAACCCACGACATCCCGCATCCGAGGCGGACGCTCTAACCACTAGGTTACCGGAGCGGTTATCAAATATTAAATGATGCATTCGTTATAGGAAATATTTTACAGAAAGTGAAGCTCCCATTTAATAAAAAACAACTGCACTTTTACAACTTCGGATAGTAAGATTTGCAATCACCGAATCAGACAAACATTCATGATTACCTTCTTTGACTATAGGACTGAGCAGGCTTGGCATTGTCGCTGTTGATGAAAGAGTAACTGATTTTAGTGATACTCGTGTCACTGATCGAATTGATTGAATTGCTTTTAAATTAATAAACTCATCCACATAAACAATTTTCATGCTCTCAACGACTTGCATTGCAACTTCTTTACTAATAAGTACAGCATATTGGTGTGTTTAGTGTCGTTGTGACTGATTGCATTATTAAGTGGCGAGCATACCCTTGAAGGTTATGAAGCACAACAAAATTCGTATTTTCTTTGGATAAATTAATAGCTGTAGATTGTACGCAAAATGACGACGACGACGATGATGATGACTATGATGATGATGGTGGTGATGATGATGATGATGATGATGATAATAATAATAATAATAATAATAATAATAATAATAATAATAATAATAATAATAATAATAATAATAATAATAATAATTTCTAAAAGTGTTGTTGCTTCGGTCAGCAAGTCTGTATCAGACTTTAAGATAAAAATAAAAGAATTAAAAATTTAATACAAAATGGAATTAGCGGTGAGGATGCTGGAGCTTCAGAAAGATAAAGAAGTAAAACAGTTGCAGTTGCAATTAGAAGAGAAGCAATTGCACCTGCAATTTAAGGAGAGAGAGAGAGAGAGAGAGAGAGAGAGAGAGAGAGAGAGAGAGAGAGAGAGAGAGAGAGAGAGAGAGAGAGAGAGAGATAAACAATTAAAAGTTGAGAAAGAAGAGAGATATAAACAGATGAAATTGGAATTATAGAAAGAACAATTGACTTACAGATGCAAGATGTTAAGGATGAAAGGGAATTTCAAGTTAAGTCACAGAATTAGAGCTGGCAAATGGTAAGCACTCCTCTACTTTTGATGTTTACAGAAATATCAAGTTAGTATCCCATTTAGACAGCTATTTTCATTATTTTAAAAGGTTGCTGAATAATTTAAAGTGCCCAAGGGAGTACTCGGCCCTATTATTACAATGTATACTTCATGGTAGAACTCGTGATATTTACATTTTGTTGTCACTGGAACAGAGTACTGACTATGATGAGGTTGAGGAATGCTTTGTGAAGTGATATGCGTTAGTCCCTGAGGTGTATTAGAATAATTTCAGGAATAATAGAAAATCAACTGACCAGACCTATGTCGAATCTGCATGGGAAAGTGCACAATATTTTGATTGGTAGTTTCTCTTATAGAAAGGATAACAAAAATTACAAAAGTCTCAGACAAATGATGTTAGTTGAAGAGTTTAGGAACTGTTTCCATAGTGACATTAGGCTGTATCTTATGAGCATAAGACTGAAACATTGGAAAATGATGCTCTTGTAGCTATTGAATATTCTTTAGCTCATAAAGTTCCTGTTGTAAGGGAGTCTTTCACTCAGCAGTCTACTGATAGAAAGGTATTTCTGCCTAATATGACTCATTTAAAACTCAGTCTGGCACAACCTTTAAAAAATCAAGCTTATGATAAACTTGATTCAAAGTCCTTGTCTATTCCTGTGTGTAACTATTGCAAGAAAAAAGAACACGTCATTTCTTCTTGCTTTAAACTGAACTATTGGCATACGAATCAATATAGACCTATCCCTAATGCTCTTTTTTCTAATAGGTCAAGGCCACAGTCATATATGGAGAGCAATGCAATTGATGGGACTAATAACCTCCAGTCTGATTTTATAATGGGAAATTTAGATCCATTCATGTCAAAGGGTTCTATATCACTCTTGCGTGATTTGGCCAATCCTATCCATATTAAAATTTAAGAGATACAGGAGCTTCTTAGAGTCTTTTATTATCAGGAACTTTGCCTTTTTTTGAGAGGTCCCGATCTAAGAAGAGTGTTCTCATTCAGAGAGACTAGTGCAGCTTTGTTAATGTTATTCTCTATTCTGTAAAATTTGTCATCATACTTAGTTTTTCTGAAAAAAAAATTGTTTTTCAGAAAAAAAGTTGTCATCATACTTAGTTTTAGGACATGTGGCAGTCGGAATATTATATCATTTACCCATTCAGGGCATTCATTTGTTACCTAGCTGGAGACAATGTTGTGTTTAAGCCACTTGTAACTGAATATCCTTGTTTGGATCAGAAAGTTGATCCTATTGAAAAAGAATTCCCAGATATATACACCGCTTGTGTAGTTACTAGAGCTTTGGGAAAGAAAGCACTTGAGAATGATTTTTATAAGAAAAGTATTTCTTTAACTGACACATGTATTGTTCAGCCTTTTGATGATGCCAGTTTCTCTCCTTGTTTAGATCAATGAAAAGGTATTGATCACAACGATCGTCTTTTATGTACTCATTCTCTTTTATCTAATCTGGGTAATAAACGAGAATCATTTGTCGTCGAACAGGAAAAAGATCCTGAGATCTCATGTTTGTTTTAAGGAGCCATCAGTGAATAAAACTGAAACCAATAAAGTACCTGACTGATATTTTATTAAAAATGGAATATTTATGAGAAAACGAAGACCTTCCCTGTACTAGTTAGTGACCATTGGTCAGTGAACTATCAAAAAGTAGTTCTAAAACCTTACAGAAAATGAAATACATAGTTTGGCCTGTGAATCTCATCTGGCTGATTATTTACGGATAAATAAAACGTATCACAAAAACTTGACTCACTTTTATTGTCCGAAAATCAAAAGTGATGTTTGTAGATATTGTAGATCTTGCCTTAATTGTCAAATAGTAGGAAAACACAATCAAAAGATGCATAATGATCATCTGCAGCCTATTCCTGCATTTGACGAACCATTTAGTAGAATCATGGTAGATTTTGTTGTCCCGTTGACTAAGACCAACTCAGCGAACAAATACTTGTTGACCATTATGTGCGCTTCAACAAGAGTCCCGGAGGCAATTCCGTTAAGAAATTTTAAAACCAAAACTATAGCAAAAGCTTTGATAAATCGTGTTCCTCAATTTGGCTTTCCCAAATGTGCTTAGTCTAGTCAAAAGTCAAATTTTATGTCTGGAAATTTCCAACTAGTCGTGCTTGTATTTGGCACTCTGCAATTCAAGTCAGAAGTGACATTACGATTTCACAGAACTTCCACGAATCTTTTAATAGAATTCATTCTCTCCTGCTCGTTCTTCAAAATTTTCTTCAAATTAAATTCTATCGCTCTTACAAAGTTAATAAAAAATGAATGAGTTAAATTATAAAAACAGTACTCTGATCTAAACAAATTAATGTAATACTAATATATTGAGAAGGATATCCAGGTAACTCATGCAATTAGTTTAGTTGTACCTGTCCCTCAAAAAGAGGATTTAAGTGAAGAAATTCAATTGTTGATCTTCGAACACTATCGGAAATTATGTTCCAGTTATTCAATATTGCTGAACCCCTGAAAACTTGTTGAGCAAGAAAAACAAGTTTTGTTGGACTGGAATATGTCAGGAGGTGTTTGATAGGTTAAAAGCCATACTTAAAATTGGACCAGTTCTTACAGCACCAACTTCCAGTCAACAATTTAAATTATCTGTGGATGCAAGTGATGTTTGTGTTGGAGCATTATTGGTTCAAGAAGATAGAAACAGTGTTGATCACCCAGTGTGTTATTTCACTAAGAAGTTAAATACGCACAAAAGAAACTACTAAACAATTGAGAACGAATGTTTGGCCTTAATATTGGCATTACATCATTTTTAAGTTCACATTAGTTCAGCTAATTCTCCGGCTGTTGTGGTTAGTAATCATAACACACTACTTTCATCGACAAGGTGAAACATAAAAAGCAATGGTTATTAAGGTGAAATTTGTGTTTACAAGACATAATCTTGACATAAACAAATCAAGGGAAAATACAATTTGATTGCAAATGTACTTTCCCGTGTATAGAAATATTATTTCATGTACACTTTGTATAATCCATACGTTTTCTTATGTAATTTTGTTTTAACTCATGTATATTTAACATATGGTTAAAATACATCTTTATTATATAAATCTTTCTTCTTATTTAAAGGGGAAATGTTGCGAATATGTATTTAAATTGCTCGTGTTTTGCTTTCAAACTTTTAAAAATTTTATTTGTTTCATTATATTTTATTGTAGTGAAATTTTTCATTGGATTTGAATCTCTTTTAGGACAATTCACTGGACCTAATTAGAAGGTAATAGTTGCTTTCTTACAGATTTTAGTTCATCTTTTGGAGACGTTTGTAAATATTGAATGTAAACAATTGGCTATTACCAAGGTCATGTTCGGCCCACGTTTTACCCATTTATAAACAGTTTTTATTGTTCATTTATATCGTGAGAATCTGACTTTTTTAGATAATTGTCGACACATCAGTACTATACATTCGTCTATCGTCATCATCCTCCATATTGTAACTTTACCGGGATTCAAACTTGGATTTATTTAGAACTTTGTAGTGATAGGACTTATATTTTTAGAATCCAGGATTACTGTTTGGATTACATTCACAAAACATAAGTCCTTTCCACATTTTTACCATTTTGTCTGGGAAATAAATTATTTGTTAAAATTTACGAAGCTTGTTGACTTTATTCTTTTCTTTTGTTACTTTCGTACGAGCCTACACGTAACACCCATGTAGCAATAACTTTGTTTGATAAACTGTAAAATAATTACAATGATTTATTCTTTCTTCATTTTCTTGCATTTCTCTTTACGCTGTAGTTTCATACAATTATTTTTTAGTGTGAAAGAAAATCAAAACTAAAATTTTATGATTGGATCATTTTTATTACGTAAAGAATGCAAGTTAAATTTGGGTCATATAGCACATGTTCTTTGCCTCTTTCTCTATGTCACGGAATTGTATAAATGTTTTTTTCTTTAAGTAAACGTACTCGGG